AACCCCTAAACCCCTAAAACCCCGAACCCTTAAAGGAACCGACTCCTCGGGAATCAAACTTTCTAACCGCTCAGGGGAGACTCGGGTCTCGGTAGTCCCGTGAGGATCACGTCGCCTTGGCTTTTTACGGCCCTACCTGGGGGTTTAGGGTTTAGGGTTTAGGGTTTATTAGGGTTTAGGGTTTAGGTTACCTATAGTCTCGATTGTAGTTCCTTTTCGGGGATACCTTATAAAACTCCGAAAAATATAATTGCCACAGAAGTAAGGGAAATATGGCCCAAGACCCATAAACGGCTATTTTTCTACATACTTTTGGGGTCCAAGTGACCCTTAAACCCCTAAACCCTGGGGTTCAAGGTTATGGACTTTGGGTTTACCCCTAGGCCCTAAACCCAAACCCCTGGAACCCTAAACCCCAGGGTTCAGGGTTTTGGGCCCAGGGGTGTAGCGGTGGTTTAGGGTTACTGCGCCCATTCTCGTATATACGATCTCCGCATCCCAAGCTGAAGGCTTCGGGTTTGCGTAAACTTAAAGGGCCGACGGAAAAACAGTTCCTTAAAGGGTTCCTAGTTTTAGACTTGTAGAGCGGTTTCAAGAAGGGCTATATACGAGTGGCATGACGGCTTTAGCATGTAGGGGTGAGGGTTCAGCGATTAGGAATGGTTTTGGTCTTGAGGGTTTCGCTTTGGGGGTTAAGGTTTCGGGTGTAGGGCTCACCTTTTCTGTGATATCTCGTGCAGGATGATTTAGGGGCTGAGTGTTGTGCTTCGGTGTTGCTTGCTTTGGGGTTGCTTTCGCTTTCTTTAAGGGGGTTCAGCTGCTCAAACAGAGCTTTTGCTGATTCGGTTTCAGGGGTGGGTCTGGGGTATTAGGCTTTAGCGTTCAGGGATCTTGCAAGGCTTTAGGGCTTGGGGTCCATGAGGATAATAGGGCTTAGTAAGTAGATTATGCAGGCCCACGGCTCGACGTACTTCTTGGGCCTAAGCCACTGGGGTTGCAAGCGGGTCCTTAAGGTTTCAGGTTGGCTGCGCTTAGGCCATGTTCGTTTCGGTGGCTAGAAGCGCTGTGTTTGATGGATAGAGGCAAGGGGGCTCCAAAAACACTGCTTGATTTATAAGAATTTTCCGTTAAGCCAGATAAGACCTCAAACTCTTGGTTGCGATTCAAGGTGTTTTCGCATAGGCTATCTTTGGACTTGAGGTTGCATATTTACAGGGCTCTTTCAGTTTAAACTCCCACTTAAGCCCTTGACCTTCTATAAAACCTCGACCCAAATCCTGCGAAGTGTCTTTTCCTTAAGCCTTAAACCCCAAACGATAAACCCCTAAACCTCAGACCCTAAAACCCCAAACCCCAAAACCCCAAACCCCTAAACCCCAAACCCTCAAACCGTAAAACCCCCAAACCCCTAAATACCTAAACCCTGAAACCCTAAACCCCAAAACCGTAAAACCCTCAAAGCCCCAAAACCCTAAACACCTAAAACCCTAAAACCCTGAGCCGGGCGGCACTGCTCTGCCACAGCCTTGCAAGAGCCGGCCCACTGCGCCCCCGCATCCAACAAAGACTTGGCGAAGGCTTCGCCCTTAACCTTTTTGAGGCTCTCAGGTGTTAGGGTTTAGGGTTTAGGCTTTAGGGGGTATCTAGGGTTTAGGGGTCTACCTGGACCCAAAGTATGCAGCATAATAGCCTTTACGGGGGCTTTATGATTACGGTTAGTTAAGGCTTTCTTGGGGCTTTCAGGCTTTAAGGGGGTCAAGGTGGAGGGTTTAGGCTTTAGCCTTCAGTGTGAGGCTCCAGTTGAGGGGTGGATCTAATCCCTTGAATCATTGCATGTGGCTCGCGTCCTGTTTAGGGTGCCTCAGGCTGAAACTTCTGGGAGCCTGACCATCAGACTTGCTTCATGTAGGGGCCTTGAGAATTAGAATAGGTTTTTGGTATAGATTATACTATAATCATAACAAGGAACCCCCACAATAGTATAGGTAATTATTAGGGCCCCTGTATTATTGCCCCCACTGCAAGGCCCTCCGATTCAGGTGTCGGTAGGATGGAAAGTCTGTGCTTTAATCTCAGGATTTAGGGTGTTTTGTTCAGGATGTCAGCTTCCGTTTTTGTTTGTTTGTAGGGTTTCAGGGGCCAGGGCTTCGAGGCATAACTGTTTTAAGTTTCTGGATTATGGTCGCTAAGGCTTTGAGGCTCAGGATTTAGGAATTATGGACGCGGGCCGAGGGTCTAGGATGTAGTTACACCCTAAACCCTAAACCCTAAACCCTAAACCCATTTAGGGTTTAGGGTCTCCAGATTTGAGGCCAGGGGAGCTGTTGGGTTTTCCACGAGCTTTAGACGGCGTTATAACGGTGCAATCGGGTCTTACAAAAACTTAGGGGCGGAGTACCCTAGCCCAAAAAAGGTTAGCCTTTTGAATTATAGTAGGATTATAAGAGCCCCAAAAGGTTAAAGGTTACCTACTCAGCCACTAAGTAATAAATATGAGAAAAAACCCGTCCACCACATCGTCAGAGTCCCTTTCCCTAGGATCCTGCTTGCATAGGTTTACCCAAGGGCTCCTACGTAGTTCCAATTTGGATAGTATACTATGATTTTAGGGTTTAGGGTTTAGGGTTTAGATTCCTTGCCAAAAAACCATAACAGACCCAAAAAGGAACTACATTGGAGCCCCTGGATACGGTGTAGGGTACCTAATAGGATCCTGAATATAAGCCACAAAAAGGAACTACTATGGGGCCTATGGGTAGGGTACTCTGACACTGCGGTCTGCATTCATCGGAGGCGCATCGTGAACGACTGGGGCCAGTCCAGCACGTAACAAGTTCCCCACCACCTGCGGTTGCGGGGCAACGGAGAGTGTTGGGTTTTAGGCAGGGCATCGAGATCCTTAGCAGAATCACCCAGAAGGGGACCCCGTCTGGATCCAGAATTCAGACACCAAGAGCCAAGAACCCCAAAAAAGCATCTCAGAACCAGAAAGACCTTGAACCCAAAGCCTTCCCCAACAACCTATGAACCCGAAAAGGCCCTGAACAATATCCTGGAACCCACCTACAGAAAAGAAGCAAGCAAGAAAGCCACAGCCCAACAACCTAAACCCCACAAAGCCCTGACCACTGCTGTCATTTGGAAACCGCATAACTTGCAAACCGCACACAAAAGACTCAAGCGAGAAAGCCAAAGCCCAAAACCCTGGCCATGTACCCCCCAAAGCCCGGTGGAGCCCAAGAGGAGACCGGAAACCTTTAGGGCTTTAGGGTTGTGGTGTTTAGGGTTTATGAGTCTATAAGGTATAGGGTTTAGGGGTTTGGGATTTAGGGTTTAGGGGTTTAGGGTTTATGGCTTTGGCGTTTAAGGGGTTAGGCCTTAGGTTTTTGAAATGCTGCTTGAGGGTTTTCCTTTCGTGTCTTTACGGCCGGGCTTGAACATAGTGCATGATTCAAGGTGCTGCAAGGATTTTGCGCGGTTTCACCCGCATGGATTCGGAGACTGTTTATTAGTGGATCTTCGGGTTCTTTAAGAGTCGGTAGGCCAATCTGAATTACGGGGTTTTGGACATTCAACGTTGAACACGCGAAGACCTCTTAGGTGCACCACGCTAAGCCGTAAACGTCAATGCCAAAAACATGCACGCAACAACGACGACACTTCCCAACCTCAAAACCCGTACTTCGAAAACTCTGAAGCCCAACTTTTGTAGCCTGAACCATGTATACCACCGACCGACAAATGCCTAAGCCCCTATGCCCTGCATCTTTGTCCAATGGTTCAAAGCATGAACCCCCCACGCAACCCCTAATGACGGAACAACCTATGGGCAGTCTGCACCGTAGAAACTCGAAGCACCAGAACCATAAAAGCTACAACACACACTGAACACCTCGACACACAATCCAACAAACCTAAGCCCAAAGAAAACCAAGCGCTGCATTAAACAAAGACACAACCACAACGCCCTAAAATGCCTTTCAAGTTTTAAGCGCCCTTAACCCTGAACCCCTAAACACCTAGACCCTGAACCCCTAAACCCTAAACGGAGCTTTATGGGAAGCCCTAAATACCCCTAAACCCCTAAACCCTAAACCCCTAAACCCTAAAACCCTAAACCCTTAACCCCTGGACCCTAAACCCTAAACCCTAAACCCTAAATCCCTAGCCCCTAAACCCTAAACCCCGAACCCTAAACTCTGAACCCTAAACCCCTAAACCCTAAACCCTCTGGTCCCCGACTGCCGAACCGAGCCACGGCGGTTCCGAGCTGGCCCAAGCCGATCCTAGCAAAAGGCACGGCAAGCAGGGGTGCTCCTAGAGGGTTTAGGGTTTAGGGTTTATAGGGTTTAGGGTTTAGGGTTTAGGGCTGTAGTTGTAGGGTTCTGAGGGTTCTTTGCAGGTGTCCAGCGGTTGCATAAGGCTTTTTAGGCTTACCCGAAAGCCCTGAAACCTAAACCCCTAAACCCCTAATGCCCTAACCCTGAAACCCCTCAGCCCCAAAACCCTACCTG